AACAAGAACAAGAACAAGAGAAACAAAAACAACAACAACAATCTTGACAACAACACGAACGACAATAATAGAAAGAAAACGCACCTCAACAAAACCAAAACGATGTCAACATGAACAACAATAACGTCATACCCACCACTGTCAAGGCAACAACAAGGCTATACTGACTAATGCAACTTATAAAACAATTTTACATATTATTATGTTGAGACAAGCTGTTGGGCTTTTTTATTGTTGTTTTTATTGTTTGGTGTGGGTTTGTTGTTTGGTTGTTGTTGTTTTTTGTTGTTGTTGTTTTTATTGTTTGGTGTGGGTTTGTTGTGTGGTTGTTTTTTGTTGTTGTTGTTGTTGGGGGTTTTTTGGGAGGGGGTGGGGGGTTCTTTTTATGCCTTTATAAATTTTATTAGAAAAAGACAACTGTGTGAGTCTTTGCTTCTTCTGTAGTGGCAAAATGTGTGATCTGCGGCAAACAATACGCAGTTTAACCCCCAAAGCAATACATTATACATCTGTGTGCGGGACTATGTCTCCGAATAGTTCCTGGGTGCTCGCCGGAGACGTCTCCGAGTATCTTCTGCCTTCCCCCATAGCTCACGACCTGACACCCGTGTGTGCCGGTGGTGGAGAAGTAGTAGAGTTAACTAAAGATGGCCAAGCCCATTCAGAGGCCAACACCACACGAAAAAAACCCGCAATAAAATATTACGTACTCATTGTGGTTATGGAATTATACCATCTGGGTGTAAGTGTAGCTTGCTGACTTAAAGTCCACACACATGGACAGATCTTTGACAAAGGGACATAATTTTACCTATATAATGTCCAGACAAATGGACAGAACTTTGCTGATATTGATGCAAAGTCCACTCGAAGGGACAGCACTTTGCTGATGGAACGTCTACACAAAGCAACAGAACAATGTACTTACCTTGACTGCAGAACCTTTTGAATGATTGTACATTCGTTAGCCACGAGGCTCTTGGTGTAAATGACATGAGCACCGTACAACGAATGTAATAGTTATATCATTGTGCGCTGTGGCACAGACAAGAAGTGGAAATAATCCCAATAATGTGAAGTTTTTTCACCGTCCAGTCCCTTAAAGGCTGTTGGGGTTGTACAATGATGAGTTAAAATTCAATGCAACAGATGAATCAAAAGACAGAAAATGTGTATTGTGAGGTCATTTCCAACACACACACACACACACACACACACACACACACACGCAG